CAACGTGATCTCCGCAAATAAGTGACAACGTCTGTAGTATGTTGTGGAGCTACGAGCTGAATAGTTTATTCAGAAATTGGAAGAGAGGGTTTGTTAAAATTGCAGAAAAACGGATACTATAAAAAATACATAATTTTGAATATTGTTGACCAAGTTAGTTCATGCAATCAATGTGCAAACACACACACACATAGACGTTGTTTTGGCAGTCAGCCAATGAAAGCATGAATGTGTTTTGCAGTTCGGACGCTTGTTGTTGTATGCACCTTCCTGGACCAGGGATCTAACCTTATCTTCCTCAGAGGGATCCCAAAAAAGAAAACAAGGCGACCTCTAAGCCTAGTCTGACATACGAGGTTTTTTCATGTCTAATTACATGCCTCATCGTTGATTACGAATGAGTTATACTGTAGAAGTATAGTCGGTACCAGTTGGTACTAGTTGCGATAGCTATTGCCTTATATGAGAATGACGAAAGGCTTGTGAAGATGCGGGTCCGCGCGTTATTATGGGACCATTGTACGAGGGAAGCGAGGGCAAAGTTTGCTGTTTGAAGAGAAATTTTTTGTTTATACTCACTTTGCAGACTGAACTTTACAGTCGTACTATCTCAACAATACTTTCTACTTTGCCACACGAGCACTTTTGCTTTTCCCTGTTTTTCAGCAAATCGCAGACATATACCTTCAAAAATCATATTTCTATTGCTGTAGCCATGAATAAATCTGAGAACATCAAGGTCTAACCTTGTTTCTAAAAGAGGTGCAAAGTACGCAGCGAACCATAGACATAGACCTTCAAAAATCATATTTATTTCTGTAGTTGTGCGATAAACTTCGTACTTTGCACCTCTTTTAACAACAAATGTTTGAATTCTGATGTCTTCTGATGGTTTATTCACGGCTCAATCAACAGTTTCTTTGGACCATGATGGGCAGTTGCTGTTGCAAACACGGCGGTTGTATTTTAACTCTAAAATGAAAGCATCAAAATCGTGATCATTTCCAGAGAACCAAATTCAGGAAATTTTGATGACCCTAACTGTTGTAGCATCATAAAAATAGGGGAAGGAAGAAGAGGTGCGAAGAGGGAAGGGAAGGGCAGATTGTCTAGGGGGGAAGGAAGGGCAGCTTGTCTATCGTAAGTGGCTTT